ATAAGTAGAGTAGGGACTTCTATTACTTTATACTTTACCTATAGCTAGTTAAACTTTTTACTTAGTTAGTTTATCTTTATATTACGCATTATAAACTAAACTATATTACTTTTTAGGAACTTTTTAGCTAGGCGTTAGGACTAGTTTATTGCTTCCTATTATTGCTGCTATTAGAATATAATAGTAGCTTGCGCTAGCTCTACACCCCTCTATAGGTGTAATAAGAACATTATAGCTTCTCTATAAGGATTCTTAGGCTTTACTAGTAGTAATATTATCTTTTATAGTGTGTCTATAGTATACCTATTTAAAAGTAGATTTAGGCTAATACTAGTTATACTAGAGTCCCTATTATTAAGTGTAAGTTAGCAGGCTAGTAGGTAATTAGGCTAGTTAGTCTACTTAAAGCATACTATTATACGCAGCACTACCTATACTTCTTAGTTTGCCCGCTCTATCCTGCTATCTATCTAGGGGTGGTATATAGTAGACAGTAACTAGTTTATCTTTATTATCTAGTATAATATTATCTAGAAGGATCCTAACTAGTCTAAACCTTAGTTAGTAATAATAGAGGATAGGGAGCCCTAGAACTGCTACTAGTTATCCTAGAAGATCCTTGCACAATAATTAGCTACTATAGAGACTATTACTTTAAGCTAAATATATTTAGATAATCTGTTAGTAATAACTAATAGGGACTAGGGTTTACTATTATCTTTTATAGGTAGGTTAACTATAAAATTTATAGATATTTAGGACTAGTATTATAACGTGACTAGTATAGGTTATAATAGACCCTATTAGCACTTCTAGGAGATATAAGCACTATAATAATAGTAGTTTTAAATATACTACGCAACGTCTCCTAATATTCTATCCTAATAATAGTTGCGGCGTAGTATTTAAAATATTATATTCTTCCCTAGATATCCTACTAAACCTAATTTATATGCTTGCTATATAATAGTAGTTATAAGGGGTTCCTATATTAGTAACTAAATAACACCCCTCTAGAGTAAAGTGCCGTGTACGCTAATTATATAGTCCCTAATTTATTACTTTATATTAGCTAAAACTAGGAAAGATCTAGCGCCTTTCTAAACTATATTAAGATATACTTAGTATATCTTATCTTCTAGTAGTGCTTTGTCCTATAGTGTCTATATATACAGGTTAGCAAAGAGGCTAGCGCCCTTTAGTAACTTAGACGCCTCCTCTACTTCTAACACTATAACCTAAATTAATTTAGGGCGTATTACTAACTATAGTATTACTTTAGAGGAGTTTAAATCTTGTAGTTATCTGCTTAAGGTATTAGGTTATCCTATAAGATAGCTAGGTCTATACTATAGGATGTACTAATATTTTAAAAGTTCCTCTGCCTAGTAGCACTATTACTTGCTTAAGCTTTAAAGGCTAGTAAAGTACTCTAAGTTTTTATAGTCTATAAATATTATAAATAGTTTATAAATACTTTATAACTCTACTAACTAACTTTTAAGATACTTAATAATAGTAAGTAATTCCTTATTATATATAGTGTAGTTTTATCTCTCTAGTATTAGTGCTATAAAGTAGTAAGTAACTAGGCGCTAGACGCCCCTAACTTTTTATAATAAGCAACCCCTAAAAGTATATCTTAAATAGTCTACTTCTAATAATATTTCTTTAGCTAGGTCCTATTATATTAATACTAGTCCTAATATAAACGCCTTTTTTAGCGCATTAAATGTACTTTATTCTTCCTCTCCCTATTAGAATAAGGTATTCTTCCTAGTTAGTTAGTTTAAAGGTGCTACTACTTTAGAAAACTTTATAATAAAATTATAGTAGAAGTTAGTAAAACCTAGAAAACTCCTTACCTCTCTTATATTCCTAGGGGATTCCTATTCCTATACTGCCCTAAGCTTTTTAGGGTTAGGTCTAAGTAATTTGCCTGCCTTAATAATATAGCCTAGGTAGCGTACCTCCTTAATACTAAAAGTATATTTCTCTAAGTCTAGGTGTAGTCCTACTTCTTTTAATAGCATAAGTACACGCTTTACTTTTTCTATATACTTAAACTAGTCTCCTCCTAAATAAATTAGGATATTATTAAGGTAGGCTATTATATATAATCTAAGTAACTCTATAAGTGTAGTATTAATATATTATTAGAAAGTAGATAGCGTACTACTAAGACTAAATAGATATACTAACTATTTATATAACCTAAACTAGGTGCAGAAAGCTATTAAGGACTTATAACCTTCTACTATTCTAACTTTATAAAAGGTAGCGTAAATATCTACTTTTATAAACTAACTTACGCTAGATAGTATATATAAAGTTTCCTTAATAAGTAGTAGTAGGTATTAGTCTAATATTATTATGCTATAAAGTATCTAGTAATCTATATAAAGGCGCTAACTACCTAATAGCTTCTTTACTAGTAATACTAGAGCTCTAGCTATAGAAGAGCTTGCTTAGATCTAGCCCTTATCTATTAATCTAGTAAGTTATATTCTTAGTTCTAGCAATTAGTTACGTAATATAGGGTATAGAGGACCCTATAAGGGGTTAGGCTAGGTTCTATCTAGGAGAGTTATTAACTAAATATAGTAATCTATACTACCTTAATAAGCTAGTAAACTGCTTGCTAACTCTTTGTTAAATAGGTCCTTAAACTCTTATAGTTCTAGTAGTAACTTTATCTTTCTAGTTTTATACTTAGGTTTATAGGGAACTATATTACTAGTAATATAGATAGTATATATATTATTAGGACCTCCCTTATTAATACTTCCTAGATATTTTATTAGGCGTAGGTTATATATTACCTATAAAATATCTAGTATATTTATTATAAAAATTTATATCTATATATCTTCCTATTAGGATCCTTAATTTAGTAACCCTGCTATAACTAAACCTAAGATAGTAGAGATATAGGTAGGATATAGGCGTCTCCTACTCTCTTATACTACTATATTTCCTACCTTCCTAATAATTAATTTACCTTATAGAATATCTATAATAACGCCCTCTCTATATAGCTATAGTCTACCTAGTATTAGTTAATAGGAGAGACTAGGTACTATATAAGCTAAAAGCTAAGACTACTAACTATCTAAATTATAGTCTAATACTACTAACTATAAAATTCTTGTACCCTTAGTAATTCCCTAGGTATATTATAAGGGTTGCGGGGGAATATTAATAAAGTTCCTACTAATCTATCTTACTAACTTTTCCTTAACTACACTAAAACACTAGCACCCTAAATTAACTATTACTTACATATTCTCTACTCTACTTAGGAGGAGGGGAATAAAGAAAGGAGGATTATTTAACCTAGCCTTAATATCTAGGGGACACTTAATAGCCTCTACTATTAATAATTCCTCTATTATAGTGTCCTCCTTATACCCCTAACTTAGCCTAAGGTTAGGGGTAGCTAGTTTCCTAAATTAGGGCCACTTACTAATACTATAACTATCTTAACACCTACTAGTTATAGTAATAGGGTATTAGGGTATATATATATAAAATAACTACCTTATCTATACTAATAATAGACCTTTACTAGTTTCTATATATTAAATAGGTCTTATAGGATCTAGTTAGGACGTAATATTAGTAGTTTAGTAAGTGCACTTAATAAGGCTACTACTTCTACTATATTTATATTACTATCCTAATCTAAGTTAGACTTCTACTAGGGTTCCTTAGACTTACTAGCCTAAAGAAAGCCTAGTTCTAGAGAGGCTATTTTAATATCTACTATAATAATCTTATATTCCTCTATAGCTATATTATAGTTTATCCTAGAGACTCCCCTATTAAGGGAAACTAAGCATATATAACTATTAAGAGATTACTAAAGTCATAAAAGCTTTTATTTATTATCTTAGTATAAACCTCCTAACTATATAAGGAGCTATATAAAATTTATAAAGAACTTTATAAAAGGCTAATTTTAGCCCTAATATAAGTATTATAATATAACTTAGGCGCACTCCTACCTATAATAGTTACTATAATAGAATACTAGGTAGTTAAGAAACCTGCTTATATCCTAACGCTTACGTGTACTATCCTTAAAGTATAGTGATATAGCGCGCTAAACTATAGGTAATAACTAGGACTAAATATATATAATCCTTGCCTCCTTATCCCTAATAAAGACCTTATCTACACGTAGTTTAAACTCTATAGTTATATACTAGGAGGAGAAGTTTACCTTAGTGCTATTATATAGTAAGCTAACTAGAAAAGGTTTATAGTATAAGGTAGGAGAGGGTAGAGGTAGTATATTATTAAACCTAGCAGGCTTAGATTCTGCCACTTGGGTTAGGATAGAATCTAATTGCGTATTTCCTTATTCTATTAATATAGTATAGCTATTATAGCAGAGTCTTAAGCCTATTATTCTATTAATCTATAGACCTATTATATTAGCCTTTCTACTATATTAGGTTACACCTAGTTATTCTAAATATCTAGCGTGTCTATCTCTTATTACTATTATAGTATATTTAGAAGAAGATACTAAAATATTATAGACTAGCCTTAAGGGAGAATATAATAAGTGTTAATAATAGTATTTAGTATCTTAAAGGAGAGGTAAGCCCTCTACGCCTTTTTATAGGTGTCTAGTGTGTTCGCTTAGTAGTGGTGTTAGACTTGGTCCGTCTTGTGTTAGACCCAGGCTTGGGCATAAGCCCAAGCCCTTCACACTAAACCTTAGCTTAGCTTGCTTAAGTATACAGCTTGATTGTTGACATGTCTGATAGCTGCAAGATCTCCACAAGAAGCATCCGCACAAGATCCTTATGGGTTCTGGTGGGTCAATGATGCACTCGGAAATGGGTGATTGCTGTTTTTGCTTGTTTTTTGTTGGCCCGTTGAAACGGACTCGTGGCTGAATGAGCTCATGCAAAATGACATGGGGCCGCATGAGTATTATAGCTACTGCCAAGGACATGAAAGTGGATATACGAGGACTAATGGCAAGTCTAGATTAGTGACATGGTGACAGTAACGCTCACACCAGGTACTAGGTCAGCAAACACGAGATCAAAGTCCATGAGATTGATGGCTTGGATTTGAAAGAGAACGCTGAAGACGTGGTCACATGACTCTTGGTGCAAAGTGTGGTCTAGTTAAATCTGCAGGGGCATATACTGGTACTGGCAGACCTTAAAAGTTAACGTGAACCATTTTGTTCTACGGTTGCGAATCACATACCTATGGCCCGACGTCTCCTATGTGTTCTTAATGCACTACAACGCATATAGAAGCAGATTATAATAATAACAGTAACACACGGTGCTTCTGTTAGCATCTAGGTATAGGGCTATGCGGTGCAGCGGCCTATACACAAATCCGAATCTCTTCATAATCAATTGACGCTCGCTGCTCCGTAAACCAGCATGTACGTCAAAGAGATTTATCGTTCCACTTTCCGTGCAGATGTAGACGCCAGTACAGGCTCAATAGTGAATGACGAGAGGGATCCCCATGCTGTTAGTTCGATTTATGCCAGTCGGAAGGTTTATCTTGCTGGTTTTCCGTCGCTCCATCCGGCGATCACTCGAATAACGGGACAAAGTTCTGCAAAACTGCCATGGCAATGACATTAACTAAGACCGCATGCCCATCTGTATTTTCCGCCCCCGGTAGTGGGCTGCCCGATCATGACTTGGTAGTATAAACTTTATAGTACGTAGAGTGAGCATGTTTGAAACAGAAGCGGACCCGGAGCGGGGTTTGCAATGTCAGCTTTCTTCCGACCCTGACGCAACATGCGAGCAAAGCGGCTATCAGCAGTCATCTTGGAAGCCAATTAGCCTTGTAAGCCTGGCTGTTTCCTCAAACACAGTGGCCATGGGAAGCTTTCTTTGGTGTTTGCCGTGAGTGTTGCTTGCATGACTGCACAGGAAAGCAGGTCTGTCAGACATGGGTGCCGAACTCCGTGAATAGGTAGAGAGTGATGGAGGAATGAGTGAGGATGCGCTAGACGATTCATAAAGTAGCTTGAGATGAAGGAAATCTGCCGATACCGGTACCTGGATAAAGGCATCGTCGCTATTGCCCCTGACCAGCGGGAGGTGAGACGAAAGTACGAGAGTATGGAGGGGGTTGCAACCGAGCAATGTGATGGGAAGAAGACTCCCGAGTGCACCAAGGCCATGAAGCGATTCCAGACTGCCGCCGAGAAATCGTCTTCTTGGTACCGGTACGGTAGGTACCTACAGCCATGCCTTGTCGAGGTTTGGTGGTGGACGATAGCTGGCGTGTGGTGGCATGCACACTATCGGGTCGCAGACATTCACGTGTAAGCTGCCATG